AGTTCATGATAAATTTAAGTTCAATTAATCATATTACTTAAGAACTCCCACTTAGACAGACATCTCTCTAGTCATCTAAGTGATCACGTGATCCAAATCAACTAAACCATGTCCGATCATCACGTGAGATGGAGTAGTTTCAATGGTGAACATCACTATGTTGATCATATCTACTATATGATTCACACTTGACCTTTCGGTCTCCGTGTTCCGAGGCCATATCTGTATATGCTAGGCTCGTCAAGTTTAACCTGAGTATTCCGCGTGTGCAACTGTTTTGTACCCGTTGTATTTGAACGTAGAGCCTATCACACCCGATCATCACGTGGTGTCTCAGCACGAAGAACTTTCGCAACGGTGCATACTCAGGGAGAACACTTCTTGATAATTAGTGAGAGATCATCTTAAAATGCTACCGTCAAACAAAACAGAATAAGATGTATAACAGATAAACATCATATGCAATCAAAATATGTGACATGATATGGCCATGATCATCTTGCGCCTTTGATCTCCATCTCCAAAGTACTGTCATGATCTCTATCGTCACCGGCACAACACCATGATCTTCATCATCTTGATCTATATCAATGTGTCGTCACATGGTCATCTCGCCAACTATTGCTCTTGCAACTATTGCTATCGCATAGCAATAAAGTAAAGCAATTATTTGGCACTTGCATCTTATGCAACAAAGAGACAACCATAGGGCTTCTGCCAGTTGCCGATAACTTCAACAAAACATGATCATCTCATACAACAACTTATATCTCATCACGTCTTGACCATATCACATCACAACATGCCCTGCAAAAACAAGTTAGACGTCCTCTACTTTGTTTTTGCAAGTTTTACGTGGCTGCTACGGGCTGAGCAAGAACCGTTCTTACCTACGCATCAAAACCACAACGATAGTTCGTCAAGTTGGTGTTGTTTTAACCTTCGCAAGGACCGGGCGTAGCCACACTTGGTTCAACTAAAGTTGGAGAAATAGACACCCGCTAGTCACCTGTGTGCAAAGCACGGCGGTAAAACCAGTCTCGCGTAAGCGTACGCGTAATGTCGGTCCGGGCCGCTTCATCCAACAATACCGCTGAACCAAAGTATGACATGCTGGTAAGCAGTATGACTTGTATCGCCCACAACTCACTTGTGTTCTACTCGTGCATATAACATCAACGCATAAAACCTAGGCTCTGATACCACTGTTGGAGAACGTAGTAATTTCAAAAAAATTCCTATGCACACGCAAGATCATGGTGATGGCATAGCAACGAGAGGGGAGAGTATTGTCCACGTACCCTCGTAGACCGTAAGCGGAAGCGTTAGAACAACGCGGTTGATGTAGTCGTACGTCTTCACGGCCCGACCGATCAAGCACCAAAACTACGGCACCTCCGAGTTCTAGCACACGTTCAGCTCGATGACGTCCCTCGAACTCCGATCCAGCCGAGTGTCGAGGAAGAATTTCGTCAGCACGACGGCGTGGTGACGATCTTGATGTACTACCGACGCAGGGCTTCGCCTAAGCACCGCTACGATATTATCGAGGTGGATTATGGTGGAGGGGGGCACCGCACACGGCTAAGAGATCCAAGGGATCAATTGTTGTTGTGTCTAGAGGTGCCCCCCTGCCCCCGTATATAAAGGAGCAAGGGGGGAGGGGGCGGTCGGCCTAGTAGGGGCGCGCCAAGGGGAGTACTCCCATCGGGAGTAGGATTCCTTCTTTCCTAGTCCAACTAGGAGAAGGGGGGAAAGAAGGGAACTGGAGAAGGAAGGGAGAGGGGGGCAGCGCCCCAAACCCTTTGTCCAATTCGGACTGGGCTTGGGAGGGGCGCGCGCCACCTCCTGGCTCCTTCCCACTAAAGCCCATTAAGGCCCAATACTCTTCCCCGTATTCCTGTAACTCCCCGGTATTCCGAAAAATACCCGAATCACTCGGAACCTTTCCGAACTCCGAATATAGTCGTCCAATATATCGATCTTTACGTCTCGACCATTTTGAGACTCCTCGTCATGTCCCCGATCTCATCCGGGACTCCGAACTCCTTCGGTACATCAAAACTCATAAACTCATAATAAAACTGTCATTGAAACCTTAAGCGTGCGGACCCTACGGGTTCGAGAACTATGTAGACATGACCTAGAACTATTCTTGGTCAATAACCAATAGCGGAACCTGGATGCCCATATTGGCTCCTACATATTCTACGAAGATCTTTATCGGTCAAACCGCATAACAACATACTTTGTTCACTTTGTCATCGGTATGTTACTTGCCCGAGATTCGATCGTCGGTATCCAATACCTAGTTCAATCTCGTTACCGGCAAGTCTCTTTACTCGATACGTAATGCATCATTCCGTAACTAACTCATTAGCTACATTGCTTGCAAGGCTTATAGTGATGTGCATTACCGAGAGGGCCCAGAGATACCTCTCCGACAATCGGAGTGACAAAACATAATCTCGAAATACGCCAACTCAACATGTACCTTCGGAGACACCTGTAGTACTCCTTTATAATCACCCAGTTACGTTGTGACGTTTGGTAGTACCCAAAGTGTTCCTCCGGTAAACGGGAGTTGCATAATTCTCATAGTTACAGGAACATGTATAAGTCATGAAGAAAGCAATAGCAACATACTAAACGATCAAGTGCTAAGCTAACGGAATGTGTCAAGTCAATCACATCATTCTCCTAATGATGTGATCCCGTTAATCAAATGACAACTCATGTCTATGGCTAGGAAACTTAACCATCTTTGATTCACGAGCTAGTCAAGTAGAGGCATACTAGTGACACTATGTTTGTCTATGTATTCACACATGTATTACGTTTCCGGTTAATACAATTCTAGCATGAATAATAAACATTTATCATGAAATAAAGAAATAAATAATAACTTTATTATTGCCTCTAGGGCATATTTCCTTCAGATTCTCCGTAGTAAGTATCCGCAGTCCAAGACTTTGTCCCATGTGACAGTGAGACCGACTGACTCGCCTTTTTGGAAGGGCTTATGAGAGTCAAAGCAGCCTTCTTTAATAGGACAGAGTTTATAGTCGGTAATGGCACCACCACACGCTTCTGGGAGGATACTTGGCTTAGTGAAACGCCGCTGACGCTTCAGTATCCGTCCCTGTATAGTATTGTTCAACGACGTGATGCTTTTGTTGCAACGATTTTGCAGTCCATCCCCCTTAATATTCAGTTTAGGAGGACGCTTGTTGGCAACCGGTGGGAAGCGTGGCTTCATTTGGTGAGTAGACTGATGGAGGTTCAGCTATCTCATCAGCCCGATCAGTTGTGCTGGAAGCTTACTAGGTCTGGAGAGTTCACAGTTAAATCGATGTATATCGATGTCATCAACTCTAGTGCCATTCCTAGTTCCAAAGGTGTTTGGAAAGTCAAAGTTCCTTTGAAAATTAAAGTGTTTATGTGGTTTGTACATAAACAAGTCATATTAACAAAGGATAACTTGGTAAAGCGCAACTGGACATGATCTACTAGGTGTAGTTTTTGTGATCGGGACGAAACTATCAAACACCTATTCTTTGATTGCCCGTTGGGCAGAGTTTTGTGGCACACGGTGCACATTGCCTTTAACATTACTCCTCTGAATTCGGTCAGTACGTTATTTGAAACGTGGCTTGTTGGAATAGAGTCCGAAACAGCTAGACACATTCGCGTAGGAGTATGTGCTTTGTTATGGGCAATTTGGAACTGCAGAAATGATTTGGCTTTTAACATAACAACAAATATTCATTTTTGCAGGTTATATTCTGAGCCAATGTGTTGATCCGTACGTGGTCGTTACTCACTCCGACGGAGGCCAGGGAGCGTTTGGTTACTGGATCTATCCGGTGGGAGATGGTAGCAGGGGATATCTTCAACCGGTTTGGATGGTGGTCATGTAATAGGATAGGCGATTAGTTTACCTATCTTTATTATGCCAGCTGGTTATGCCTTCTTGGCTTTTTATTTTTGGCGTTGTGGCTCTTCGTGAGCTTGCCGTTAATTTGTTTTCAGAGTGTAAGACCTTGTTAAACCTTTTTATTTTTCATAAAGGTGGCCGTATGCATTATTTTGATGCAGAGGCTGGGGAGTCCCCTCTTTTTGAAAAAAAGAATTGAAGGCACAGGAAGGTACTTTGACTGATGAGGTGCAACCAGATGTGCTTCATAGTGCTGTGATGAACAATGCTTTATAGCAGTGTGATGAACATATATGCGGGCAAGAAGTGTAGAAGTTACGGAACTGATTCTGCCGAGCATAAACATTTGCTTCAGGAAAGAGCTACATTGAGAAGATGTGCATAACGAAGACGAAAATGCCATGAAGTTCAACAGTACATGGAGACGGTTAAAAAATGAAGCAACAACAATGTCAGCAGCTGATAAATGAGACCATCAACGAGACGATATGGATTGGCTGTGTGCATTGATTGATGCAGGGGCCGGGGTTAAAAAAAAACTGAGACGACAGAGCTGCTGCAACTGGAAGCCATGGAGAGAATGCCGCTCGGTTTCGTCAAGTCCTATAGAAGCTGCAGCCTGCAGATGCAAGGAAAAGAGCTGCCTGAGGCACCTCCGGAGAAGAGCCAGTGGCGCCTCCTCCTATCTGCCATTTCATCTTCAGAATCATCTCACTTTTCAGGACAGAGCATCATATTCATTATCCCAGTACCAGAAGTCCAGAGGAAAAATACAACAGGGAATAAGCATGAAAAATGTCTATAAGTCAACACATGAATATACTCAAATATTCATATGCTAATCACCTCATTCTACAGATTAGATAAGATGCAGAGCCTTGGGCATCCTTGTCCATCAGATGAGCTGAGCTTCCTGTGTGAAGTCAGGCATGCTCATCACATGACTATACAGATCCGGATTTTTCACTTTGCCTCTTATGTTGATCATGTGTGCCTCCTTGACCCGCTTGCAGTATCTAACCGAATGTTGGTTGTCTCAAAACTCTGATGTGTCTTCTTCATCTTAGTCATCCGACCTTTCTCCCAAATTGAAGACCTGAACAACATTAACGGTATAATCAGAATAAAAGCACATGCTGCACAATTACAACCATAATTATTTTCTTCTTATATAAATAATTAGTGCAAGTGTCGCGTATTTTACTCTGTAAAAGACAGTTGTCACTAGTCAATTCGAGAATGGAAGCTTAGCAGGCACATACGCTTGATTCAAACCACTTCTCTAATGTATAGGGCAGCAAAGAATGAATAGATATATTCAAGCTTGGTCAGTTCTTGGATGCTGTCCAGCGAGGACCTGATCCCTCGCACTGCTCTATCACAAAACACTTGACAGAGGTTAGTTCTCCTAACCTCTCCAGTAATGTCATGATTGCACACTCACACAGTGTTAGTTCCTGCAAGGATGTCAGTTCTGCCACCTTTTTTCGAGGGAGGTGAGGCTGTGGTCTGTGGATGATCTCAGGTGAGGTGATCAGATGACTGCAACCTTTGATGGTTAACTTACGGAGGGCAGGGAGGTGGTGAAGCAACCCCCACTGATGACTGATGCATGGGAATCTTGCTCTCTTCAACAGTCATCTCAGGTAATGGAGAAGAGGAGGTACCGCTGTGTGAAGGGCTCTCTCCCCATGATGATAGTACAAATACATAGCTCTGTCCACAAACTTCAAAGGTTCTAAAGTTGGGTGGGTTAGAATATCTTGGGAGGTTTTGATAACCACCTGAGACTACAAGATTAGACAATATGCAGAGCCCCAGCTGGGAGACGAGATGAGCCTCCTCTTCGAAGAAGCCAGGCATGTTCATCACAGCACTATACAACAGCACATCCTGAACCGTTGGTGCACCTCATCAGTCACAGTGCCATGAATGACAGCCACTGAATTGTCGATGGCACCTCTTGCGTTGGCCAGCTCAATGCTCTCCTCAATGTACCTTGATCTGCTTGAAGTATCCACTAGGGTGTTGGTTGTCTCCTCAACGGTCTCTGCTATCTCTTCTTCATCTGATTCATCCGCTATGTCTTCTTCATTTGACTCGTCTTCTTCATCTGAGTCAAATAGGAAGTTCTGAACAACAGAAACAGTATAATCAGAACAACACAGCACGTATGGCTCTGTCATTTCAACACAGCACCTATAGCACAAGTACAACCAGAATTCTTTTCTTCTTGGAGATTCATGATTAGTGCAAGCATTGCATATTGTACTTTTTACTCAGTAATCTTGACACATTAGGCATCATATAAAAAAAGAACCATGTTGTCAGTTGCTCGGCTAGCTGAAGTCCGTTGGTGTTCTCTGGTCTGGCCGTCCACTGGGGTTTGATGCCCGCTGGATCTGGCTTCTTTTGGTAGTATTTTGCTGCGGCAAACCATGTTGTCAGTTAGTCTTATCGTTAAACTCCTCTTAGCTGGGCAGTTGTTGTTAGTGCCATCAGGTTTTCGCCCCACGGCGGATGGTCCGCTCTAGGATCATCATGCAGTGGGTTTCCTGGTGGTGCACCAACTCGCTCCTCCCCTTTCAGTCTCCTTTTGCACTGTCTCATTCCGGTCTAGCTTTTCTCTGTTGGTAGTTGGTTGCATGACAAAAGACTTGGATAATGACTGATGTATTTCCGTTGATTGCAAAATTAATGGAAAGGGGTGTGAGCCCGGTTGGAAAAAACATAAAAAAAGAACTTTCTGTATTCGCCACTTGGCATGATTAGCCAGAGAAACACATGCCATGTGTATACGTATTTGTAGATAAAGAAAGAGTAGGCACTTAATGCCAGTGCGATAATAAAAGAAATACACAACATATATCTCGGCAAGGGCATACCACTTTTTTGATGTGAGCGAGCTTCATCTTGTTCTTCTCTGATTTACACCACTTCACCAATGTAGGGCATTCGTCGTCAATTTGTAAATATTCAAGCTTCGTCGCTTGTATGCTGTCAGGCAAAGACCTGATCCCCTGGCAGCGCCCTATCACAAAACGCTTGAGAGAGGTTAATTCCCCTAACCACTCTGGTACTACTGATATGGTTGCACACCGATACAGAGTTAGTTCCTGCAGAGATGTCAGTTCAACCAACCCTCTCGGCAGTCCTGCCTGCGACAATAATACAAAGCACAACGCTCTAAGGGAAGAGAGGCTGTGGATGATCTCAGGTGAGGTGGTCAGATCACTGCAATCAGTGATAGTTAATTTACGAAGGGCAGGGAGGTGGTGAAGCAACCTCCACTGATGCATGGGCACCTTGCTTTCAGCAACTTCCAGCTCAGTTAACGGAGAAGAGGAGGAAGTACTGCAGTGTGACGAGCGCTCCCCCCATGATGATAGCATAGTATCACAACCTCGCATGCACAAATACTTAGCGCTCTCCCCAGGCAGACACGGTTTTATCCTCAGCTTGCCACATTGCTCTATCCTCAACTCCTCAAGCTTAGGGAACAAGAGCTCATTTGAACCTTCCTTGCCACTGTAATGTGTCGTGTTCCATTCTTCCAAGCCCTCCATACAGGTGAGACTCAGGTCTCATAAGTTTGGTAGTAGACCAAGTGGTGGTAGCTTGTTGCACTTCTGAAAATCACACAAATATAAGTAAGAAACATTAGGGAGATATTGCCTCATACCCATAAGCCAATCTGGAATGCAGACACTACTGTAACCAGTTATATCCAATGTATGTACACTGCTTGGTGGCACTAGTTTTTCCAACACCTTGTCATCCACAGACCTCGCAGCATCTACAGTCCATTCAAATTTTAGATTTATAATTTTTTGTTTCTCTATTAGTTTTATACTGTGTGCCTCTCCTGCAGACTTCACAGTTTCAAGTCTATCTATCATCAACACATCAGGATTTGTAGGCTCAAGCAGAACGATATTGCTGCCACATTTATCACCTGAAGCATGCACCTCAAAGTATGGCAAAGAGGCACAGTTAAACCGAGAGAGAGACAATTCATACCAGTTAACACCTTTCAAATTTAGAACCTTCAGACTAACCATCTGATTTACACTATCCGGGAGCTTCTTTAGGTGGCAGCTTGAGAGGTCCAATGTATGAAGCTTCCTATTCACATTTTTTAATGAGCATAACATCATGCATTTGTACGACATGCACATTTTTTTTATTTTTCCAATAAAAAATGCGCAAAAAGAATTGCACCATGAGCATATGCACTATTAATGCTTTTGCTCCAGGAGTCATCATGAAAATATACAGTATATGAGCTGGAATACCTAAGGTTGAAAATATGAGTAAAATTATGTAGTAACTCACCGAAAGTGTCTTTGAATATTGAAGGAAGGACATCCCCAAAAGTTGTGTGACATAATTCTCACAGAGCTGCATGGAATCAAATATACTAGATTGCAAGAGCAATCCATTGGTGAATTAGATCATACTTCACTATTTTGTGACCTTTTGGAAATATTGCACAATAGGAAAAGCACAACCTCAACCAAGCAGACATGTGGCTATAGCTTAGCCGTAAGGACGCAAGCACTTCATGGCCCTCCAAACTCGATAGATTCCAGATATAACTATCTCTCACCGACTCCCATTCATCTGAAGTCATGCCGTTCAACATGTATCCAAGTGATTGAGCTGCTAAGGCCACTCCTCCACATTTGGCTGCAATCTCCCTTCCTATATGCTCCAATTGTTCTTGATCCACTCGGTTTTCAAAGTCAGCTTTATGTTTAATTATAGTCCAGCACTCATCAACCGTCAAAGTCTCCAGCTTGTATGGTGTAACTGCAGGACTACAAAATTTCCTTGCGAGGCCTCCATCACGTGTAGTTACTATAATCACCTTACTTCCCACGCCAAGCCCTAGCATAACCTTTAGTTTATCAAACTCTTTTGGGTTCTCCTCCCACAGATCATCCAAAACAATAAGGATCCTCTTACCAGCAAACAGCTCTTTAAGGCAGTTATGAAGCATCTGTTTGGTAGATATATTGCTGATCTTGTCTGTTAACTGCATTATTATAGAGTTGCCTATCTTATGCAAGTTAAATTCCGGGGAAACATATACCCACACCCGAGTGTAGTCTTCAAACTGTTGGTCATTGAATACCATTTGTGCCAAGGTTGTCTTGCCAATGCCTCCAATGCCATATATTGGAAGGATGACCATTTTTTCTGTGATGTGCTCGGATAAAATAGACAATATTTTCTGTTTTTCCTCAGTCCTTCCGATGATTACTTCTTCCACATCTGATGATGTTTCCCTGTCAGGAACTTGCTGCACAGCACGGTTAGAGCTATCTGTTGGCATCGAATTGCTATGTCCGTTATCATTATTGTTCAGTTCAGCAACCATCATCTCCAACATATTAGACTCGCTCCTGAGCCCAATAGTTGGATACGGGAGCACATCTATCATCTGCAATAAGTTTTTTATGTGTAAGGACATGGATAATACAAATCGAATTATCATGATCATAATCTCATGGTCTAGTAAATTCTCTGGGATGATTATGCTACATGTGTAAGCTAAGTTCTTGACTAATCTTTCAGTTAGATTACTCTTCACAAAACGTGTAAATCGGCTGACTAAATGGTTGTTATACCACACTAGATGACCAGTTGCGCCAATGGCGCAAAGGCCGAGAGCAAGCCATGTATTGAAAGAGTGTGCGTTAATATTATGCAGGCACATATTGAAGTGATAAACATTAGACAGAGTCATCGCTGCACGTTTGACCATGGCGCAAACAGCGAAAGCGAGCCAAGCATTCAAAGCATGTGTATGAAATTGATTTAGAATAACTTAAAGAGACTTATATTCCATTACATGAAAGCTTGATGCTTAAAAGAGAATATTCAGATCACTTGGTAATAGCATACATTGGCTTTAAAAGACAGGCTATATTAGAAAAGATGGATGGTGCAAAGGACGAGAGCAAGCCATGTATTGAAAGAGTGTACATTGAAGATGAATTTATCATCTAAGCAGCACTTAATAGTGGGTTTGTTTGGTGGACTGTCATTGCCCAAAGCACAAATGCGTTCCATACCATCGTCCAATCCAAAATAATACTTATTTATTTCCTGTAGAATGTCCTATGATTGTGAAGTTGTATCGTCAAGACAATCTCCAACATATCTTATCTATGATAGGGTATGGTTCAGATCTAAAGAAAAACAACAGAGAAGAAACACCTGCAGAAGAGTTCAGATAGTAGTTACATAACACCTCAGTACCTTACTGGGCATTCCAGTGTTCCTATGCAAACACACTAATAAACAAAATGTCCAGTAAAAGATGCGAGCCACTTTGCTAATCACATAGTCATTGAATGGAGTAGCAACCAATTCTTTTAGTCTGCTAGTAGATATGCGTCAACAGTTATGATTCTTTTTGTACATCTCCCTTTGAAACATTAGCACAAGATAGAACCATATTTTCTCAGCGCTTTGAACCCTGGTTTCAGAATGATTCTCAAAATACAAATGTCTGGAGACAACAGAATGAACACAAAACGGTTCAGTATTAACGGAGGCTTCTTTACTTAAATCAGGACAAATCCAAATCAAATGTATAGAGATAATACAAAGACCAAACTCTGCGGCTATTGTTTCAATGCACAGTAAGCCGTATCTTCTATAAAATAGTGTCCCGATACAATTGGTAACGAACGATTTGGTTCCAAGTACACAAGTAAAGGAAAAGGTAACCTTCTTATTTTTGAGATATTAACAATAGTTTCTACAAAAGACTTATATATACCTAAGTACAGGAGGTACCTAGTTTCTACAAGAGGCTAGAGGAACTACATCTTCAAAAAAAAAAGCTAGAGGAACCAAAGCACAACTATCCATTGCTGCAAAGTAGAAATTAGAGATATAAAAATATTATTCTTTGGGTGGAATATTACTCAAAGCAGCAATATGCAAAAGTAAATAAAAAACACCGAGAGCATTTGCAATAACAATGTTACTGATTAGAGAGATTAATTATACTGCAAATGGATAACTAATATTAATTATCGGAAGAAGCAAATGCCAGCATAGGGAAAACACACATGTTAAAACTGCTTCCCTCACCAGCAAATAAATGTGCACAAGAAAGAGACTAACCGAAGCATGTAGCACTATTGTCGGGAAGTTATGATATTGTGAGTGAGACATAAGCCAGCTCTTGGCCTGATGTAGAGTTGACAAACAGAAAACCTTCTTTTGAGATAGAAGCATCCAATCCTGCCAACTCTTCTACTTTGGCCTGACATGCTAGCTGTGGTTCATTTGTAGTAACCCGAATCAGCTGCATCAACTATTTATTTCCTAATTAATTACACGAACTTGGAGCTACTTTAGTCTAAAGTAAGCTAAAGTTGGTAGTACAATAAAATGTTAGAAACATGGGTTGTCCACATCAGTAATTCTTCCAAAAAATAACTACGATCACAGATTTTTTAGCCTTAACTTAGGCCAATCTTATATGCTCGCTTATGCGGTCAAGATTCTAATACTTATAAGTCAGTTTATCGTATAGTTATTGGCCATAATCACTAAAAATGGGAACAAAAAAATTTGTCATTTAAATATAAGCATAATAGAAGTGGCAAAGGAAGACTTACCAAAGACTTAGTGGGAGCATCGATGAAAGTTAAATGCATTCAAGATATAACATCTGAGCAGGACCATAGAACTGAACTTTATATCTACTCTGCTCTGCACATAGGATACTGGAAGACGACACACAAATAAGAATCAATCAAATAAAAATTCAACGGACATCACAGACCAAAGTGTGCTATAGATGTTTGATAAATTTGTAATCTATCAAGAAGCTTCTTGCTAATAAAACTATGCAGTTCTTTCTGACGCTCAATTACACATGTGATGTGTTCATGTAAGTTTGGACGCAGTGAAGCATTATACATAATTTTAAGTGTAATCAAGTATAGCATGAGATGCTTAGAAAGGTACATTATGTTCGAGTTGGCAAGAGCAAAGCAGTACAAACATAACCTGCTCTATGGATAAAACATGGAGGAATCTCTCCAAGTGCAGTTCTAATGCCGCAAAGAACATCTTGAAGATGAACTTGCATATGTAAACAGTAAAAGGTGATTTGCTAGATTCTAGAACACGTGTATTAACATTTTGTTTAAGCAGCTTTCCTTCACCAGCAAGCAACAACTATTGGTTTGAGCAAGATGAATCAAGCTAGCATGCACGAAAATAGTAAATTGATGGCCTACTGGACCATTCAACCTATCGTTTCGTATTTTTCTGCCACTTAATTAACTTCCATCTATAAGTGAGCAACAAGCATCACTTTGGATATGTAAACAACAGAAGGTAATCTGTTGGATCGTATAAACCTTTCCTTCATCAGAAACCAGCACCCAATTGTTTGGGAATATATAAACAAGAAACAGCACCATATCCAAAGCAGGTGAACCCCAAAATTTATAGACAGTCAACCCGAAATCATGGAATATGTACCAAGACATAATCAAGCAAGCCAATCAGAGGAAACCTAACCTTGTTTGTCAACATCACACACGTCCAACGAATAAACAAAGAACCTGCCCAGGGAAAAGAACATGGAAGAAAAAAGATAATTGTCAGTAGTTCAGTACCAATGGCAGTAGGGATAACCTTGTAGAGTGCACTCATTACTCATTGGTGTTAAAAAATAAGTTTCCTTCCTTTTCTACTGCCCATTAACAAATAAATTTGTATAGCCATGAGATGAGTCGCACCATGGGCATACTGTGTTAGTTCCACTCTCGAAACAACCCCCTTGGTGACAGAGATATTGTCTCCACCTGCGTCATAATAGTACAAAATCATTTAATTGTCTACATTCTTATATGGTTTTAGGTGTCTAAATAGACGATCAGCAATGCAACATTGAAGCCAAGCTGAATAAAAAATAGTGGTATAGTAGGCAAATTTTTAAATGGTGAACCAACCACCAATCATATTTGTATTTTCCCATTTTTATGCTCTGTAGTGTACATATATGTTCATAAACTGAATAAGGTTAATTACAGGGTCAGTCATCTAATGGTATCCTTATTAACTTAAATATTCAGAGTATTATGCTGAAGATCTAACACTACTTAGTAAAGGTTAATTACATGAGTAGGAAACAGTAGTAGGAAACAGTAGTAGGAACAATGGGGGCTGAGATCCAGTCATATAGTTCATCAATCTCGATAAAAATAATCCCTCGCAAGAACAAGATCATGTAAATAAAGTGGTGACCAGACTGGGTTGGACTTGAAGAAAATTTGTGCAGCTCGGCAACAGCAAAGCCACAAGTATGATCTTACATATGTCACATAAGGGTGCTGGAAAATCCAACCGATGGTGGAGTTTTTTTTGCAGGTAAACAGCAGCAGTAGGCCAGAAGCTGCCGTGAGGAAATACAGTACCAGTGAGATACAATACCTAATTTTTTTTACCATTTATTAACGCACACTAAAAATAGACATCAGATGATAATATAAATGCACAATAAAGGATCTACAAACCTGAATAGCAGGGCAAAGCCATACGACTCTGCCATCATGCCGAAGGCAGGCCAGCCAATAAGGACGAGGGAAGTACGACCACGAAAGCAATCAAACCCTGCACATTCAAGTGATCTTGTTAGCTCATAACTAAACTGGAACCGAACAATTCGGATACATGACTAATTCTTAATTAGGCCTGCATTGTTACATGTATATGACCTTGCGATCCTTGGGCTTTGTGAAGAACTATATGGTTGGCTTCAGCCAAATTGTTAGCGAAACACCAGAGACGAAGATAATCTGACATGAAATTCATGATAATTAGGAAAGAATACCTTAGAGTGAAGATATGCAAGTGCATTGTAGAGGACAAGTATCACTTAGTTAAACTAAACATCCAACAGGCATACTTAGAAACTATTAGATCGTTTCTCCTGGTTAGACATAGTTTGAGCAAGTTCAGAAGTAACTTAAGCAACTATTAGATGGTCCCTCCTGATTATATCTTCCTGGAAATCTGTACAACAACCAATGACCAAACAGTAAAACACCGAATAGCGCTAAGCATGATCGATCTACACAAAGCCCAAGGATCGCAGGAGTTATTATTCACAGGAGTGGGGAAGCGTAGGCCTGCATTGTTACATGTATATGACCTTGCGATCCTTGGGCTTTGTGAAGAACTATACGAAGTGCGGTTCTGTGAATAATATCTAGAGGAATCAATTCTTTATTCCATCCAGCCCTTCATCCGACGTAGCAAGATGGATCCATATCCATAATTGGCGTTGCATGAACTGCAGTTTTCTTCATTAAATCTAGACTGAGAATTGGACAAATTTGCTTCCATGTACAACAGAGATAGATCAGGGGAAGAGAGAGACAGAGAGAGAGAGAGCAAGGAAAGGAG